CAATGAGTGCTCTTTATGCCAATGAAATCACAAGTAAAGTCCCAAAATATTTTTTTTAAGGCAGTTGGGGTTAAGTGACTTGCCCAGGGTCACACAGCTAGTAAGTGTCAGGTGTTTGATCCGAGGCCGGATTTGAACTCAGGTCCTCCTGACTATAGGGCCAGTGCTTTATCCACTGTGCCACCTAGCTGCCGCACCAAATTTTTTTTTAATCTACTTATTGGTATATGTGTTATTTCCCCCAGTTGTACACAAGCTTCTTGAGGGCAGGAACTGCTTCATTTTTCTTCTTTTTATGGCCAGTTCTTGGCACATGCCAAGTACTTAATAAGTGTTTAAGGGGAAGGGAATAAGCATTTATTAAGCACCTGCTATGCCAGGCACTGTGCAAAGCACTTGGCAAATATGTGCTCATTTGATCTACACGACAGCCCTGCAGTCTAGGTGCTGTTCTTTTCCCCATTTTACAGTTGAGGAAGCTGAGGCCCACAGTGGTTAAGTGACTTGCCAACATCACACGGCTAATGAGTGTCTGAGACAGATTGGAACTCAGGTCTTGCTGACTCCAGGCCTGGCTCTGTACTGTACCATCTAACTGCCAGAAATGGAATTTTGTAGAAGTCAAGGACTGGGATAAACCTTCTACCCCTAGATCTGCCCCCATCCCCAACACAGCTGAGAAGCAGATTTCTTTCTTTACTTCCTGTTTGTTCTTCTTTGTCTCTCCCTTTCTTTCTTTTTCTTTTTATTCCTTTTTTTCTTTTTGTTTCTCTCCTTCTTCCTTTTTCTTTTTCTTCCTTCTTTCCTTCTTTCCACTTTTTTCTTCCTTACTTTCTTTCTCTTTCTTTCTTCTTTCTTTTTCTCTTTCTTACTTCCTTTCTTTCTTTCCTTCCTTCTTTCTTTTTCTCTTTCTTCCTTCCTCTCTTTCTCTTCTGCTTTCTTTCTTTTTCTCTTCCTTCCTTCCTCTCTTTCTCTTCCTTCCTTTCTTTATTTCTTTCCTTCTTTCTTTTTCTCTTTCTTCCTTTCTTTCTCTTTCTCTTTTTCTCTTCCTCTTCCTTCCTTTCTTTCTTTCTTTCTTTCTTCTTTCTTTCTTCTTTCTTTTTTTCTTTCTTTCTTTCTTTCTTTCTTTCTTTCTTTCTTTCTTTCTCTTTTCTTTCTTTCTTTCTTTCTTTCTTTCTTTCTTTCTTTTCTTTCTTTCTTTCTGTCTGTCTTTCTTTCTGTCTTTCTCTTCCCTCCAGATTCTCCCTATCTCTCCTAGGCTGGCAGTGCAGCACCCATTCCCTGGCCCACTTCCCAACCTGATCAGCAGGGAAGCTGCTCTGCTTTTCCAACCTGCCTTGCTTTGCCCCTCCTCTTCTCCCACATGCTCATCATTTTGGTTATCAGACTTAGGATGGCCACGTGGTGGGCTTTAGCCCCCTGCAGCACAGTACTCCAAAGCGTTAGCCGCGTACCAGCTTCAGCTTCCCCAGGACTGCAGTCACATATAGGTTTCCGAGAAAGAAGAAAGCCAGTATAGCTATGATGCCTCACCTTCTTTAAAGGAGGGGAGCCTGCTAGCTCTGCTTGTCACCTCCTCCCATCCCCCGAAAGAAAAGGCATTCTGAGTAAACAAAGCCAGGGCTAGATGCACAGAGAGCAGGCTCCTTGCTAGGCTGGGGTTAGTGCTGAAGTATGTGAGGCTGTGTGGTTTGTAGGATGCTGACACTAAGGCTGTAATTAGACCCAGCAGCAGGGAAGCAGTGGGGGCCAGGTCCGAATCTGGCTGCGCAGCGTTTCTGGCAGAAGCCTGGAGGGGCCCGAGAAAGGGACTGGAAGGAGCTGCAGTCCCTGTGTGGAGGATGCTGCAGCTTTCTCCAGGCAGAATCTTTGGCTTGAATGAAAGGGGTGGGGTGGGGGGAAGGGAGGTGTACAGCTTATCTGACTTGGAGAAGTTTGTGGTGGACAGGAAGAAGGAGGCTCTTTTGTCAACAGATCTGACCTGCCTGGGGCTTTCCAGAGAGGATAAGGCCATTCAGAAGGCCCTGACTTTGCAAAGAAAAGGCAAGGTCAATCTCTGAAAACATCCTGCTACTGGGGACCAAAGCTCTGGAGACAGCTTCCCAAAGGCTGAGGCCAGGTGGAGCAAGCACCTTTTTCTGGGATGAATGCAAACCAAGTGTGCAGCCCCAGAGTTCCTCCCTTGCTCCTGCCTCGCACATTTGGCAAGAGAATTGAGTTTAGTGAAAATGCAGTGGAGTGTGTAATGAAAAATGGTGTATTTGCTGTGTGAATGGACACTCAGTCATCACTCAAAAGTAACCGTTGGGGTCCTTGCCTGGAAGAAAGAGCAGGATTTTGCCACTGGCCTTTGGGGAATACACTGGGCCAAAGGCACCATAGGCAAGAAAGCTGACCATACTGCTGCCCTTGAAATATATAGTCAGTATTCTGGTGTGAGAGAGAGCCTGGCATATAGCTAGGGCACCATGTTGCAGTAGAATCAAGAGGGCCTGCGTTCAATTCCTGACTGTCATTTACTTCATGTGGGACCCAGGTTAAGTCTTGTAATCTCTCTGGGTCTCAGTTTCCTTATCTCTGAGATGAAGGGATAGGATTGGATCAAGAGCTCTTAAAACTTTTTCTGTGTCCTGGCCCCCTTGGGCTGTCTGGTAAAGCCTCTCAGTTCCTTTTTTGAGTAATATTTTTAAGTTCATAAAATGCATATTATTTTTGTATTTTAATACAAAGGAGATCAAATATGTTGAAATACCATTATAATTTTTTTTTGTAAAACATTTACAGAACCCAGGTTAAGAACCTCTGTGTTTGATGGTCCCTAGGATCCTTTCTGTCTTTAAATCTGCCCTCAGAGTCTAGAAGACCTAGCTAGGTTCAAGCACACACACACACACACACACACACACACACACACGCGCGCGCATACATACACAAACATACACTAACACTCCCCACACCCTTCCCCACCCAAACATGTACATGCACACACACACAAACACATATATAGACATACATACATACATACACAAACACTCCCCATGCCCTTCCCCACACATACACACATACACACACTAGCTGTAAGACCATAGGAAAGCCACATCTTTCCATATCCTTAGCAGTTCTTTAGGATTACAAATAATAGGCGAGTCGCTAGCCTGTATCATAGAAGGAGTTTCAATACTGAGAGTTTCCCCTACTGATGATATCATAGACCTAGGCCTGTAGGAAGGAGTGAGCAAATGAATGAATGGGCAGTTTAGAATAGGTTGGCCTCTTTGAACATTAATAAAATTCACCCTAAAATCTTATGTTCATGTGGCTACTTCATAGCTAATACCAATAAAAGCATCTACTTGGATGCAGCCCAGTGTCCGAGCTGCCATGAACTACTTAAATCCAGAACTTAAAATGTCTTTCTTCTCCTTTAAAGGAATCCTCTGGTGACATCAACCTTCCTTATTACTTAACTCTTCCACATTTCTGTTCCTTTATCAACTCCTTAAACCAGGATGAAAATTGGAAATCCCAAAGAAGGAATGTAGATAAGAGAATGTAAATTCTCCCAGTAATATAGAAGTTCCTTGAGGACCAGGCCTATTTCTGTTTACCTTTGTATCCCTGGCACTCATCACAGTACCTTTTACCTAATGGGCTCTTAAGAAATGCTTGTCAAAAAGAATTAAGTGACATTTTATCTGTCAGGTCACAGATCTTTTGCCATTGGTGAGTACATCCTGAAAAGGCACCCACATTATTACAAAGCCCCGTCACAAAGGTTTTAACAGTATGATCCAGTGCTGGAAGCCAAGTGACTGACATCATCCTGGGCAAGTCACTTAACCTGTGTGTGCCTCAGTTTCCTCATCTGTAAAATGAGGGTAAAAAATAGCATGCACCTCCCAGGGTTGTTCTAAGGACCAAATGAGCTAATATTTACAAAATGCTTTGTAAACTTCAAACTGCTATGTAAATGCTTATTATTGTTATTGTTGTTATCTTCGTTATTATTGAAGAATCATTTGTACTAGAAGAGGGAAGGGGTTGTCTAAACAGGGGTTCCGGGATGGTTGACTCATGCGGTGTGGACTTGACATTAGCTACCCCTCTGAAGTTTTCAGGCTCAGAAGTCCAGTTCTCTTGCCCAAGGACAGCTTTTATTACCTGTCAGAAGTTCCAAACACTGTAGCTTCAGCTGCTGTGCCTTGGGGAGTAGATCCTGCCTTACTTAATGGCCAGCTACAAGAATCAAGAGTGCTTTTCTCCCGTATGGGTATTCCCTCCATCTAGGCAGGTTGCAGCTCCTTTGTAGATGGGTATTTGAGACTTGCCGTGGACAGATGATTGACCCCCTTCTGGCTCACCAAGTGATGGACGGGCCTCTCTGACCTTCATGAGGTTGGTTCCTGAAGACCTCCCCAGATTTGTAGGACCCGGAAGAGTTTGGGCATAGACTTATGGGCCATAGCCCTCTCCATGCCACAGTGAGAGATCAGAACAAGATGTTAGTAGATTTCCACTTGTGAAAGGGATCAGTAATTTTCTCAGTGTAGGAAACTCTCAGTGTGGGAGGTCCTTTTACTCATGCAAATTGAAGAGTCTTCTTAATTTTAGATATGTTCTAGGAACTTTCCCAAGGCACATAGAGGTTTCATGGTTTGCTGAAAGTCGCTTAGTTGATACTTGTCCGAGGCAGGATTTGAAACCTCGGTCTTTGGGATTCCAAGCCCAGCACTACCTCCTCACCCTCTCTCCTTATCCTTATCCTTGCTCTACACACATGGCCCAGATACAAGAAAACCCTGTGATTTTTCACACGGGGATTTCAAATTAACCAATTGGGAAACCATGCTCCTTCCATGTTTCTTCTCTTGCCTATCTTGTGACCATGGGTGGAAAACGAATCAAACAAAAATGGCAAAGAAGAACAATGTCTTCTTTTTTAGGATTCCTGTGTAATTCCTTTGTCTTTGCTTCTCTTCTCTTTTCTTGTTGGTGAACAGGAGAGACGGCAGGAAGGCAGCAAGTCCCTACCTCCCCTCCTGCCTCGGAAAACAGCAGTGCGGCCCATAGCATCGGTAGCACCCAGAGCACGCCCTGTTCCAGCAGCACGACCTAACACCCTACACCAGCGGGAGAGCCCGAGAGCCTCACCAAGGAGGGCAGCAGTTCTGAGGGATTGTCCATTCATTGAGGCTTGGGCCCCACACCTGAAAGGTTGAATTTGGTTCCTTTTGGAAAGAGAGAAGAGATTTTAATGTTAAAAATCACCAGATTTATTGGTCCCCATCTTCCTCCACCTTGGTCATCATGGTCTTTGAACCTTCCCTGACATGTCAGGGTACATGTAAAAAAAAAAAACCAACTCCTTGTCCCACCAGACTGTTATCTCCTTGCAGTAGGATTAGAGGCTTTTCAATGTGAAACACACATAACCTTGCTTTGTCTATTAAAAAAAATCCCCTTCCTTGGGATTTCCAACTTTTACAGGTTTTGAGGAGTTGGTAAAGGGATAGAAATATGAAAGAATTAAGTAATAAGGAAGGTTGATGTCACCGGAGGATTCCTTTAAAGGAGAACCAAGACATTTTAAGTTCTGGATTTAAGTAGTTCATGGCACCTTGTAAATTGGGCTGCATCCAAGTAGACACTTTTGTTGGGATGAGCGCCTTCTCCAGTTGTTCTTATGTGCCCTGAAGCTTCATGTGTGTTTGTGTGATGGTTCCTGCCTTTAGTAACCACCTCAGGACCCATATCAAGGCAGCATTCCTTTACATGTGTCGTGGGCCAGAACAACTCTAGATGACCTATACACACACACACACACACACACACACACATACACACGTGCGCTCAGACAGCAACAATGTTATCTTAGTGCAGATTTTGCACGTGTCGTCTCTCTAAATAGACCATGACCAAATTCTGCAGTCTTAATTGGTGCATCTTTCTGCCTTGTGTTCCACTTAGGCTGGTATCCACATTAGGACGGAATTTGGCACTGGACCCCATGGAGAGCTTATCCCATGATAACACATATAAATGCATAGAGATGCATGGGTATGATAACTAATCTGGCACGAGTGTCTTTTAGGTTGAGAAGAAATGAGTTTAGTGGTACTCTTTGAAAATATCCTAGGTGGATCTTACTTGTGTGTATGTTTTTGATAATAAGCTCTACCCTTGCAAAATAAGTCGAAACTTTATAGGCCCAGTTTATATGTTATACATATATATGTATGTGTGCATATATGTATATATGTGTGTGTGTATATATATGTATATATACACATATAGATACATATAGATATAAAAGTTTTTTTTAAAACAAGAACAAAACCAGAAACTTTTTAAAAGATACAAATGCATGGTAGTTTCTGTTAAACTACTGGTTAGTTATCTGAATGATACCATTGACTATAACAAAAGTTCTGTCAAAACACGGAAGCAGGGTGCTTATTTTGACCTTTATGATTTGGCACCCTTGGTCTAAATACATCCCAAATTTAAAAGAGCTTGAGGTAAATTTCATGAAATGAAATTATATAATGCAACTGAAACGTGCTTCACTGATACCTCTGTGTTTGATGAAAATAAAAATCCCCCAGAGGAAATTTCTTCTGCCAAATAATTCACTGATGGTGATAATTTCACCACCAGTTTTGTATCTAGCCACTTTCCAGAATTCCCAAAGAAATTTTTTAGAATTCCCTAAGCAGGACATTCCATACTTTCAGACTCACCAGCCAGTCTCATTTACTTGAAAGCAATATGTGGCGTGCCTGATTCTCCACCAGTAGAGCTCTAGACACCAAATTCTAAGTAGCCACCAAAGCCTGCATGGAGGCCACTTGGCCAAAGTGGAATGAGGGTTGGCAGTCCAGCAAAGTTAATTCAGTCTGTTCAGTGACTATCAAATCAATGTAGCCCAAATCAATCTACTTTCTATTGAAACAGTTAGTTTGGTCATTTACTGAGATGTTGACCAATGAAAAAAACCCATATATTTGAAAATTTGACCAGACTTGTAAGGGTTAGCAGGGAAATTTCTGCTTCTGGGGCCTTTTTTTTCCTTTTTTTCCCTTTTTTTTTTCGGTATTAAACACATAGGCATCAGAGTAGGGAATCTAAAAAATACGCTACCTATGTTTGGGAATAATGCGCTTTGCCTAACCTTCAGCTGAATGTATTGTGTTAGTATAGTCTGTGTATAAAAAAAAGAAACCTTAAAAGATGTCTTCAAGGAAGACGAGTTTTTAAGTCACTTATAACTATATTTTACTACATAAAATTTGTGTATAAAGATATATTTAAATGTTTTCTATAAATTTAAGCTACTCAGTATGAAATGTCTAATTTCAATTACTGTGAATTCTTTTGATCAACTTTTTTTTTGCTTCTTTTTAACCCTTTCTGTCATTTAAAAAATTAACTGTTCTCATGGGAACTATTAGAAAATCCATTTCTTAGATGGACAGGGTTAAAACCTTTTGTAAAATATTTAAATGTATATTTTTGAAAGAAATATGCTGCATTACCAATGATTTTTTTATCAAGAATTTACTCTAATTTTAAACTAATTTACAAATTTATATTTACAGACTGACAGACCAAAAGTTGCTATTTGTTTTAAAAGAAAGAAAAATGAAAAGATGTTTTTGAAATTTTTAGACTTCAGTCTATCCATTTGGTACCCCCCCACACACCACCACTCATCAGTGGGATTATTCACTTTCAGAAATCTGAACTAATGGACCATTAGCATAGCAGGTTATTGAGGTGATGAATGCTATCAAATATTATTCCTGGGATATTTCTACAAAACAAAACTTGCAGAGGCAGGTGTTTCCCTACCCCCTCTCCCACTCTGTAGCTGACAACAGCCTTAGTCCAAGAATGTACATGGTTCTCATAGCACCATTTCTGACGCCTTTTTAAGTCACCCTTCTGATACAATACAATACAAGCACAAATCCTTATTCTGTAATATTTACTGCAGATTTCTCATAAAGCTCTTCTGGGTTCTGTATCAGCCAAATATTCTACCCACAATGCCTTGTACTTATTTTTTTAAAAACTAGGAAAGCTCTCTTGGTTCAAATACTAAGATTGTGAGGTCAGTTATTTAGCCTGTTGGGTTCAAATCTTGTTTGAGTAATAGACCACAGCTCCTTCAACAACATAGCGCTGGGCTGGTGTTACTCTTCATTGTTACAAGAAGTCCAGTGTTTGTCTGTTTCACTACTTGGGAAGCATTTACTATGGGAAGGTGGTTGTCTGCTTGTCTCTTACCACGATTGTAATCTCTGTGCCCTGATTGTTTTCTGTGATGTGTGTTGTACTAGTCTTTTCTGTCATGTATCTACCTCAGGGCTTGAAAGAAGACGTGTACTGCTGGGCGTGCCAGAAGAGCTCTTTTTGTTGGGTGATGTGTGTGTGTGTGTGTGTGTGTGTGCGCGCACACACGTGTGTGTGCGTGCTCACCAGCACATGTTTAAATGTATGTGTGTGTTTGTTCGTTTGTCCTGCATGGGGGTTGTTCATGAAATTAACAGATATTTTGAGAAAATGTTGGTCAGTTTCCACATACAATACATCTCCATCTCTCTCCTCCCTCTCTCTCTCTCTCTCTCTCTCTCTCTCTCTCTCTCTCTCTCTCTCTCTCTCTCTCTCTGTTTCTTTCTCCCTTTCCCTGTTTTCTCTCTCCTTCCTATCTCATCTTTCTTCTTTTTTCTCTTTCTTTCTCTCTCCTCCCTCTCTTCATCTTTCTGTCTTTCTTGTTCTTATTTCTCTCTCTCTTCTCTCTGTCTGTCTGTCTGTCTGTCTGTCTGTCTGTCTGTCTCTCTCTCTCTCTCTCTCTCTCTCTCTCTCTGTCTCTCTCTGTCTCTGTCTGTCTGTCTGTCTGTCTGTCTCTCTCTCTTCCCTCCCCCATTAGCTTCTTCTGAATGAGCCTGAATCCATTACTGATTTTTATTATGTAGGGGAACAGAAGTCAGAACCCCTTCAATCCCTGTGGCCAGTTTGAACACCCCCCACCATGTTGTAATTTTGTGTTCTTTTCTGCGTTCAGTGTGTTGGCAGACTTGTGAACTTGCTAAGTTGTATAGTTTCGATAACCATGGTGTTATAGTCTTTTTATCTCTGTGCATAATAAAGATATATATCAATTATTCAAAAAGCTCTAGTTTGTCATTAAATATCGACTTCAGGTTAATATAAATTCTGGCTGTTCTTCTGAGTTAGTCTCCCTCGTATTTCATCTCTCTACTTTCCAAGGGTTTAATGAGGGGAGAGTAGAAGGGGAATAATAGAGCTCATCCCAGAAAAGAAAGTGGGTAAAGAACAGTTTGGGGGCTTAGAAAACCTTCTCCACTCCATAGGAAGGCACCTTGGAGGTCATTAAATCCAGCTGTTTTATTTCACACATAAGGAAACAGAGAGGAAATGGTTTGCCCAAGGTCAGACAGGTAATGATGGGTAGCAGGTTTTGAACCCAAGACCCAGTCCTCTTTCAATTACAGCATATAGTCTTACCTTTCTTCCTCCTGGTTAGGTGGTAGAAAAAGCCAGAAGGGGAAGTGGGCCCACTAAGCTATTCCTGAGTCCTGGTTGTTCAGCCTTTTTCCTTGACCATGGTTCTGGTTCTGAGAAGTAACAGCCTGATTTGTCTGCCCAGGCCTAGTCTCTGGGCTGCTATGATTTACCCCAGCCCTTTGGGTATTAGCAGAGACCAGCAGAAAGGGGCCCATGTGGCATATGACCTGCCATCTGGCTGCCGGGTCACCCAAAGCCATTTTCAGAATAATTGAAGAAAGGAAGCCAAGGTATCTACTGTAGAGAGAATCCCTCTGTACAGTTCACTTTCCTCCTTTACTCAGAAGCCTGGACTATTGTTCCTTTTAATGATTGATGGAATGGTTCATTTGTTCATTCATTCACTCACACATTCAGTCAGTGAGCACTGAATGCTTTTGCCTACTGACAGAGAGCAGACTGGACTCCTGAATCATTTTGTTATATGTTGAGGTCAACACATGGAAAGTGCTTTGTAAACCTTAAAGCATCTTGTAGATGCCAGCTATTAGTAGTGCCCAGAGTTAGGGCCTCGTTACCCATTGCCATAGCTTCCTAATTGATATCCAGCATCCCCTCTCTCCAGCCCTTCCTCCATACAGCTGCCAAAGCGATATTCCTAAAACACAAATCTGTCCATGTGACTCCCCTCTTTAAGAAGTTTCAGTGGTGGCCCTGGAGTCAGAAGGACCTGAGTTCAAATGTGGCCTCAGACACTTAAATAGCTATTGTGACCCTGGGCAAGTCACTTAACCTCAATTGCCTCAAAAAACAACAAAAAAAACAACTTCAGTGGCTCCCTACTGCCCCAAATTTAGGCTTGTATGCAGCACAGCCAGGTACGCTCACCCTGGGGCAAACATTACTGCTGATCCT